CTTCTGCCACTGTTGGCTAAGAGTTTTTCCCAATAACCCAGTGGGGAAGGTTTACTAATTAACAGCTAAAGCAGCCAGCTTGACAATCTTGATTCTGTCATCCTCACTTCCGATTGTTGATTTTACACAGCTCTACATGCAAAGAATTCCATCAGCTATCATGCATTAAGTCAGGCAGTAATTCAGCAAATATTTATTGAGTGCCTACTCTCTGCGTAGGGGATATGGAGTTGAACAAGATGGACAACATTCCTGCTCTTCTGGAGCTTTCATTCTAGCAGAGAAGACAATGAGCAACTAAATAAATACAATTATTATAGGTTATAATAATGGCTATGAAAGAAATAAACGTGGCTGTCTGATGGAGAGTAACTGGGGAAGGCCTCTGAAAAAGAGTGGTTTAAGAGCCACCTCTGAAGAGTGACATCTGAGTCACTGAGATGGGAGAGAGAGACAGCATGCCATTGCAGAGGGAGGGCCATTTTTAGGCACAGGGAACAAAGACAATAACTGAGGAGAGGTGCTTAGAACTGGGGGTTTGTAGATCTTGTTCTCATGCTCTGTTGTGTGAGAGCAAGCTGTAGGCCCTGTTTTGTAATGGAGCTATAATACGCCTATCATTATTTTGATGTATTATTATTATTATTGGCGGGACTGGGGTTTGAATTCAGGGACTCGAGCTTGCTTGGCAGGCACTCTACCACTTGAGCCATGCCCTGCCATATTGTTATTTTGTGTGCCAGAAATAAGTGGTGTAGCAATAAAATATTTGTTTTCATCCTCTTGCAAAAAATTCACATTCTAAAACTTTAAACAAGTCCTATATTTTGCATCTTAATAGAAAAATGGAATACAGAGCTAGAAGAGGTAACAGATATCATCTAATGCAGATCCTCATTTTAGATAAAAACATTGAGACCCAAAAGTGAACTGAAAGACCCATGGACACTTGATTTGGTAGTGCAGACCTGAGGTTAGAAGTCTGAATTCGAAATTATGTTTGCCATTTCCTTAATAGATTAAAGATGAAATATTTGTAATAGGTAAGCCCTCAAACTATTTGTATTGAGTATTTATTTTGAAAAGGATGAACCTGATTTTCTTCCTTTTAAATTTCTCCCACTTACTTTTCCATCTACCTTGAAATCCTTCCAAATTCAGTTGTTAAAAAGCAAACCAACTGTGACAGGATTGTTCACACTCCTCTTAGCACAATGTGGAAACCAGTGTGTGTGACATGGTTTGGCCGCCAAGGGAACTGAAGACTCCTGTCCTGGTCTTGTTACTCATTTGTAAGTTCAGTCAATTAGTGCAGTTGGCTGAATATAAGGAGGCTAGGTTTAAGACAGGAAGGAGAGGTGGGACTTTTGGCTGTCACATCTGTTGCCCACACCTGCTTACATAATTGGCCCACAGCAGGTGAGTGAACTGCTTCTGTTAAACAGATCAGCCTCAGAAGGCCAGGTGTTGCCAGATTTACAACAAACAAACTCCTACACAATTATTGTCATTGTATATAGGAAACACACTTGTACATTTGGAAATAAGGCTTTTGGAATCATTGATACTGTCCCCCTAACTCATAAGAGATAAGTTTTTACTTTTGTCAGTGTTGTACACCTATTAGCTTACCTAGTCCAAGATTCTAAATTTTGCTTTAAGGGAAAGAGCTAAATTAATATATATATATATATATATATACATATATATATATATATATACATATATATATATATGACATCTGTATAGCTGTGATGCTAATTGTTGCTTGTTCATTTATATATAAAGTGTGCTTATGTTCCCCAAATATATATGCATTCTAAAATGCAAAGCTTAGGAAAAAACTGTATCAAGCAGGTGTCCCTCCAAATTAAAATTGTTAGTAATCATTAGCCTTTTGCAGGCTTGTATCCAGATATTCTTAATTGTAATAAGGAAAGCTTAATGTTGCTGATGTAATGCTGTCAATCATAATTATTATCCTAACATGCTGTACGCAATGGATATAACTAGACTGGTCTGTCAATTGCTAAACTACACTTTGAGTCCTTCTTTAGAACATTTAGAACATCTAGAATGCAAAGTGCAAGAGACAAGACTTAGAATAACCATGGTTAAAATTTTTAGCAGCAATTAAGCAATTGACAGTCTAGAAAAAACTACTCAGAAAAGTGGGAAAGTTGTCAAATTCCAAATGGAGTCACTTGTGTCAGCCCTTCAAAAAAGTAACCAAAACCGAGAGGTTTGGAAGGAAAAGTTCATAAGCACACCTATGACAGAAAGCAAACTCATGTTTTTTGGCCAAGGCCTCCTATTTACTTATTTATTTAATTTTTTAATGTATGAATATTTATATTATTATTGAATATCTACTTGTTTAAATTCTTAAATAATAAGATGACTGGCTGATTTAGGAGAACACAAAGAGCAAGTGGAAAGACTTACACAAAAATTCAAATTATTAGGTAATTCAAGAAATTCACACTGCATTTTATCATGACGCCATCTCATGTCTATAGCAGTGTCAAAGTAGAAAAGAGCTCTAGTCCTGCCATTTATTAATTTATGGAGTCTTTACTCCTATATCCAGCCAATCCCTTCTTGTGAAAATGCACAGCTTGGTGGTAGTGGTTACTCTCTTGTTGCAACAGTATTTGTTACCCGTTTCTAAGAATGTTCAACACCATAGACCATCTTGGCCAAATGAAGACATTTTCTGTGGTCATGAAGCTCTTGTTAAACATTTGGGTGTAGATTCCATTCCTGGCTCCCACATGATCAGTCACATATCTGACAGCAGAGCTTTTCTATTTAAACTTTGCACATTCACAATATGTAGACATAATTCAGTTCATAAATAACGGGAAACTTGTTATAGCAGATACATTTGCTTTGTGCCCTGTTACTTTCAGAGCATTTCTAACTGTAATTTTATTGAAGGTCTTCTATTTAAATAGAGAGTATTTCTGCTGACTCCAAACATATCTTTTTAGTAATCTATGCTCATAGTGTTATTTTAAAAGAGGACCCCCTACACAATTTATTTATTGGATGTCTTCTGACTTTTACTCCGTCTGTATTCTGCTTTAAAACAGTTTTAGGCTTAAATAAGTGCTTCTGACCTGTATACTTCAGCTCTTTGTCCCATTCTCCTGTGTTAATTTATCACTGACCAAGAAACCTGCAAAACCAGACTGGTCAACACCCTAATTCCCTGAAGACTGAGAAGTGTTCAAAAATAAGGGGGGATTTGTAAGAGGTGCATGAACTGTTTTTGCTGAAAAGCACTAACTCCTTACTTGGGCCCACAAATTAACCAAAAACAAGAGAAAGCTTGGCATCTCTGTTCCCATTTTGTACCTGCTGTCCATTACACTGAGCCATTTTCTTGTACAGTCACCTTGGAATCAAGGAAGGACAGAAATGATCAATAATATCTTTATGACAAAGGACTGAAATTACCCCTAAGGAACAGCAGAGCCTTCCAGGACAGACCACCCCTGCAAATAAAGGCAATTACCTACAATGATGAGTCTGCACCCTGAAGCAGGAGCAATCCTGTCTTGGGAACCAGATCACTCCCCTCATGTGATGATGGTGACAACAACTTCTCAGAATCCTGGAAGAACAAGGTCTGAGATTAATGGTCAACTAGGCCCCACCTGACCTATCTGACCAATGGGACACACTTGTGACTGAGATTTGTAACTATGCAGTTACAAAGTCACTGAGATTTTGTCCCCTGCCCTAATTCTTTATTTAAAGCTAAAGCTCATATCTGTACCCCAAAGATGGCTGAGGATGGGCTGAATGTTTACTTTGCCTCTTCCCCTGGCATGTCCCTGGACGTGTAATTAATCTCCTTTCTCTGCCCTTCACCGTGTCTTTTATTTGGCCCATAGTGCCCTGACCTTGACATGTGGAATCTCAGGAGTTTGGGCTTTAGGTCCAAAACTCCAGATTTTTTTTTTTTTTTTGGTACTGGGGTTTGAACTCGGGGCCTTCATCTTGAGCCACCCTATCATCCCTATTTATTGTGATGCGTTTTCTCGAGATAGGCTCTTATGAACTATTTGCCTCGGTTGGCTTTGAACCGCTAGCTTCCTGATCTCTGCCGCCTGAGTAGCTAGGATTGCAGGCGTGAGCCACTGGAGCCCTGCCAAAACTCGTTCTGGCCCCACTACACATCATTTATAACGATAATTGCAGCGGGGGATTTGAGGCCAGGCCAAAAAGATCAAGACTCTGAGAAGATGTGGCCAAAGTTTAAAATGATAAAGAATGGGGGCCAGGGGATTTGAGCTTGGTTACCAATTCCTGGAGTAGCAGAATGAGGGCACACCCCTGGCAGATTAGAAGAGATCATCCTAGAAGAAGGAAATGCCTCTTCCCTGGGGCACAGAGGATCCCCGGGAACATTGACCCCAAGCCGAATGACTTAACAGGACCCAAAGTGGGGAGGTCAAATTCGTGCATCTCTTAAGTGTCTTTGAGATACTCGTGGGCCAGTAGTTAAACTTTGGGGTTTTTGCCCTTTGCTGCCGGGAATCTTCTGCTCTTTGGTGCTGACGGGGAGTAAACAGAGATGAGGACGCACGTGAGAAACGCAGTATTTCCTCTCAGATGACAGGTGTCTTTATCTTAAGGTATTTAAAGGGTGTGTGTGTTGCGCAAAAAGGGCTTTTCCTAGTGGTGTGACTTAGCAAGTTGCTTAATTTCTTCTAGACTTTGCTTTATCTCTCTGTAACAAACCAAAAACAAACATCGCGTTTAGGACAAATTCGCAATCCTTAAAGAAAATTTAAAGCTGAGCAGTTAGAAAGCGAATAAACAGATCACTTTTCCAACAGGCTGGTGGGAGGGCGTAAAAACTCCGCCCCCTCCGGCATGCTTAGCTCTGATTGGTCCTCTAGAGGAGGGCGGGGCCTGCCAGCGGGGGCGGGACCCGGTCGCGCAAGGCTAACTGGCCCGCCTAGGTCGCGCAGCCCAGACTGTCACTCAAGACACCGCCATGGCCGGGCGTGCCCAAGGGTCCTCGCGAGCCCTGCTCGCTGCCCTGCTAGCGCCTGCGCTGTTAACGCTGCTGGTGTCGCCGGCACGGGGTCGTGGAGGCCGGGACCATGGGGACTGGGACGAGGCCACAGTGATGTCGCTGCTGCCGCCCCGTGAGGACGCGGCGCGCGTGGCCCGCTTCGTGACGCACATCTGCTCCTGGGGCGCGCTGGCCACCATCTCCACGATGGAGGCGGTACGCGGCTGGCCCTTCGCAGACGTCCTCTCGCTCAGCGACGGGCCCCCTGGCGTGGGCAGCGGAGTGCCCTACTTTTACCTGAGCCCGCTACAGATCTCCGTGAGCAATCTGCAGGTGAGCTGGGGACGTCCCGGGCTGGCCGCCGCGGGCGGGAGACAGAGCCTTTCCACTGCCGCCAAAGTTCCGCCAGCCCGGGAGAGTGTGGCTCTAAGAACTCAACCCGGCTGAAAAGACTGCCTCCTCTTCCTTGCGCTGGCTGGACCCGGATTGCAGCACCTACCCAGCCAGTACCTAGAGGACTTCTCCCCTGAGTTGTCATGATGTCATGAGCCCTCTCGGGGCACCATGTCTCCAGTAACTGGCCTTTTATTATTTGAAGATTTTACAAGGCTTTGAGATGGCTGGGTAAACATTTTGCAAAGGTGACTTCAGGGTTTCTCTTTCTTACCTCTCCTGAATTGTTTTCCCAGAGCTGGGAATGTAGCTCAGTGGTAGAGCACTTTCCTAGCATGCAAAGTGTGTGGTTCATACCCGCACCACAAGGAAACAAAGAACAAAAAACTTAGTAGTCTGTGGGTCATGCTTGTAATCCCAGCACTCAGAGCCTGAGGCAAGGGGATCAAGTGTTCAGGGCTTAACTAACAGTGTAGAGGCTCTGAGTTCAAAAAAGATTTTTCCCTGCAGCAATAGGACACTACACACTAATACACAATCTTGTGAATGATTATTGAGGTCTTTAGGCCTCCTGTGCACACTGGCCTCTTCACTAGTGAGCTGGGGTGACTGAAGGTCTAGCCCCTCCTCGCCCTTTGCCCACCTTCTGGGTTAGGGTCAAGCTCACAACTCTGATGAACCTCTGCCATCGGTGCTGACAGACACACAGCCTGGGAGGTAAGAGCCACTCACAGCCCAGGAATGGAACCTGACTTGGCGAAGGCTCTTTGTGACAAAGATCTCACATTTTCACTCTTGGAAAAGCACATTATTGATAAAAAAGATGAAAGAAACCAATGTTTAATTAAGCACCTGCCATATACCAGGCTGACCTGCAAGTTTTAGTCATTTCCATCCACTGTTCCTTGTGATAACGCTTTGAAATAGAAGCTACTATCCTCACTCTGCAGATGAAGAAGTTAAGACTTAAATAGTAAGTACCTTGCCCAAAGCCAGCAACCAAGCCCTAGTTTTGTTTCAGGTTCATCTGCCTTCAAACCACAGACCACAGATGGTGTTCCATGTGTTGAGTTAGCTTTCTTCTCCCACACAGAGCTCTGTTTTGTTTTCAATAAATCTGAATTAATTACCAACATTTTAAAATTGAGATTTCACATAAAAGCTTAAATTTCTAATTTCTAGTGGCACTGGGAGCCAACATTTTCTGAGCTAAAGCAGAAGCAGCTCCTTCAGCTGTAGCTCCTACACTCCTGTTTACCATTTTCTTTTTCTTCTTTTTTTTTTGGTAGTACTGGGATTTGAATTCAGGGCCTCATGCTTATTAGGCAGGTGCTCTACCACTTGAGCCCTTTTTTGTAAAGGGTTTTTCCAAGATAGGATCTCGTGAACTATTTCCCCAGGCTGGCTTCAAAACGTCATCCTCCTCATCTCTGCCTCCTGAGTAGCTAGGATTACAGGCCTGAGCCACCAGCACCCAGCCATCATTTTCTTATTCTCAGCCCTCTCCACACATGCAAGTATTTGCTCAATGCAGTTTCATTCTATGCCATCAGTGTTGCTTGGTTTGGTTGCAAACTAGTCACCTGGGAAGACTTAAAAATTCAATGCCATGGCATTTTTATTAAAAATGCATTTTACTCTAAATCCTCTCCCCACCTAAAAAGCAAAAAAACTCACTGATGATTCTAATAGGGAGGGGCAGTGGTGATATCATTCCCATTGTAGAAATGAGGACACTAAGACTCAGAGGTGCAGGAACTCACCTGTGACTAACCAGTAGGCCTGATGTCTCTAGAAAGAGACAGTGATGAGGAACGTACCCTGGACATCAGGTTTCTCTGATTGCAGTGAAAAGATGTGATTTCTTCAGCATCTTTCTGACTCTGATTTCTACTAATTAACCAAAGTTGGGTTTTGCTATGTATTTTTCCTCCTCCTTACTGCCAGGATATGCTTCATGCATTCTCATGAAAAGGCCCAGGTTTACACACTTCTCATGTGTAAAATGCCTGTAACTCAGAGACAGGTTGTGAAGTTCAGATTACTTGCCGCCAGAATGTTCCTCTTGTATGATTTTTTTCTTTGTGGCATTTTAAAAATAGTAAATGTAGGAAGATGTTGCTGATGTTAGCTGGTAATGATACCAAGTTGGGCTATGGGATCAGTGAGTCAGAAATGAAATCTTGTAGTTTGATTCTTTGTACCAAGACCTCAAACTATTGGCCTCCCTTCCTTCTTGGCACCCTTCTCTTGTGAAATGACCCTCTCTTCTTTGGTCACCCCTGGTTTTTTGTCCCTCTGATCCACTAAAAATAAGTATCTCCTGAAGTTCATTTCTTATCCCTTTGTTCTCCTGATCCTCGGAAGATTATATACATATTCGTGGCTTTACTTCTACTTACAAAGATTGCTTTCCAAATTTGTGTCCATTTCTGACCTCTTCAGAGTTCTCTATTTCTGTTTGTTAAGCTCAGCTCTTTCTCTTCCTCCTGAAACCAGCTCTCCTTGATCTTCTGCATTTCTATTAGTGAAATTATTTGTTTTAGTTAATTGGTTGGAATTCTCCAGTTCCAAAGTCCTGCCAAGTTTTCTTTTGCTTCCATCCATGCCCCTTCTCTTTGTTTCTATCAGCCCATCCTTAAGCTATGTCCTCATCACCTCATGCAGAAAAGTACTTGAACAACTCTTAAATCACCTGCTTTGTCCACTCCACTGTTAGACATATGTTAACAGACTACTCACAACATTGCCCTCTGCCCAGAAACTGAATTGGCTGTTTGTTAAACATTTTAGGGATGGTTCTTGGAAAGCACCACCTGAGGCTGGCCTACAAAATATAATCTAGAGCCCTTAGCTTGGTTTTGAGTCACTCTCATGCCCTCTCCAAATCTCTTCACTCCAAAAGCCTCCTACCCACAAGTTGGCTTTCCCCTACTCTCTATCCTGTCTTAGGCTCTCCTAGTTCTGTGCTTATTACAGTCATCCCTCCATCCTCCATCCCTCCAACTTTCCACTTCTGTCCTGATTTTGAATATATTATTGTTTCTACATCATTCTAACTTATGCTGATGTCTCCTTTCACTGAACTTTGACTATTTTACCATTCATTTGGCAATTAGTTATGTCTGCCTTCTGACCTCTTCTGTATCTTTGTTTCACATTGTCTAAGTTTTGGTCATGTCTAACTTTTTTTTGTCTGTGGTGGCACTGGGGTTTGAACTCAGGGCCTCATGCTTGTTAGGCAGGGCCTCTACCACTTGAGCCACTCTGCCAGTCCCCAATGTCTCACTTTTCAGTCAGATCATAAACTCACAGAGGGGAAAGATTTTACTTCCTTCCCTTTTTCTTTCTCTTCTCTTTCTTCCCTTTCTCCTCTTCCTTTCTTTTTGGCAGTACTGGGGTTTGAACTCAGGACCTTCCTCTACCACTTGAGCCATGCCTCCAGCCCTCTTCTCTTTTTCTTTTTTTGGTATTCTATAGTGCCTTACCTAATAGTTTGAAGATGGCAGATATTATTTATTATTTTGGCTGATTCCAATGAGATCTCTTTATAATTTGCTGTTTTTGATGGATCATTGTGAAATGGCACAGTTTTCCACAAAGATATTTAGGGTATAAAGAGCTACACAGTCTGAAATACAATGTGTGAATTTTGCAGTAATGTTAACAGTGCTTTTATGAAGTTGATTTCTGAATAGGAAAGCATTGAGAACTTTGTTTGCTTCATGTTTGAATTTGAGATAAGAATGCTGTTGTTATGGAACAGGAAGGAGCAACTTCTCCAGTTTTGAGATCACATGATAGTTTCTGCTACCATGTGATAACTGTGCAGCATGACTCAGCTACTTTCTTGCTCAAATTATGTAATTAGCTGGTTGAGCAACTGTCATATTTTTTGGCACTGGCTTCATATTAGAGTTTAAACTCATTGATATTTCAGTGAGGTCTATCACCAGCCTCGAGTTTGGGTACTGTAATTGTAATTCCTTTGATACCTATGGAACAGATTCTAAGTTTAAGGAAAAAAAAACGTTAAACTAGTTCTTATGGAGTCAGTTGATTTTGAATATGAGCCCTTTCTGCTTTGAGAGGGATCAGTCTCTATCCAAGTAGTATTTTTCCCCTGAAAGGAAGATGGTGTTTTACAAATCATTGTTTCATGGAAGAATGGTCCAGCTCTCGTGATGTTCATATATGCAACTTGTGAAATTTACTACCTCTCCAGAAACCATATTTCACATGAGAGGGTCTTCATTTTCTCTCTGCAGGAGAATCCCCATGCTACGCTGACACTGTCTTTGGCGGAGACTATCTACTGCAGGAAAAATGGATTTGATCCCCAGAATCCCCTTTGTGTCCACATAATGCTGTCAGGAACTGTGACTAAGGTAAATAGTTATCCACAGCAAGAGAGATGGGTTTAGCATAGCATCATGATATTAACTGAGAATGGAGATCTTTTGAGAAGAAAATATAATTGATTTGTGATGAGGTGCACAGTTAGAATTATTCTAATATGTAAATTAATTCCATGAAAACTAAAGATTTTAATCAGTTTCTGTCATGGAGGTGTTCAAATGAACTATTTTCTGAAGCCAAGTGGATATAACTATAAAGGGCCTGCATAAAATTATTCTTGTTAAGGAATATCTGCTCCACCAAAGCTTACCACATCCCGTCATGTTTTACATGGAACCTCATTTAGTATGTCTGGGTTCCTGTCTCCATGTTTTCACAGTGGCTTAAAGCAGAGGGTATATTAAGTAGGCCAAGAAAAAGGAGTGTCTGTTACAAAAAACTCAATGTGAATTTGGACACTGTAGGATGACTGCTGGGGAGAAGAGTTTAAATAAAATCGTAGCAAAGGCAGTGAGCAAGGCGTTATGAGCACTGACCGGATTACTGAGCCGGTGGATTTGCTTTTTGACCTTGTCAATCATGACTACCTTAGACAGGTTTGATTTATTTTTGTGCGTGTGTCTCTGTAGTTGAGTGTCCTTGACTCTCAGAAGAAAGGAGGAGAGCTGCAATGCTGCTCTTCCAAAGATTTTTGCCTTTCATGAACACTCATCTACATGATAACAGGTGCGTTTTGTGCAATGAGTGCTATGGGATGTCTTAGACACCTGTAGCATTTTATCATAGTATCTTGTACCCATTACTCTGGTAGCTCAAAATTACTGTTTAGCAGTGAAAATTGATACTCATGATTTTCTTTTTGTGGTACCGGAACTTGAACTCAAGGCCTACACCTTGAGCTACTCTACCATCCTTTTTTTGTGATGGGTTTTTTTCAAGATGCGGTCTCAGGAACTACTTGCCTTGGCTGGCTTTGAACCATGATCCTCCTGATCTCTGCCTTCTGAGTAGCTAGGATTACAGGTGTGAGCCACTGGCGCCCGGGAAGGATTTCCAACTATATAAACTCTTAGGATTTGTAGAATGCCAGAATCACACATTCTTACCAAATGAGAAAACAAAACGTTACTGCTATGAAAATGTTTATTAACATTTGTCCTTTAGGTGAATGAAACAGAAGTGAACATTGCAAAGCATTCATTATTTACCAGACACCCTGCAATGAAAACCTGGCCTGCCAGCCATAATTGGTTCTTTGCTAAATTAAATATAACCAATATCTGGGTCCTGGACTACTTTGGTGGACCAAAAATAGTGACACCTGAAGAATATTATAACGTCACATTTCAGTAAGTATTTGCAAATCTTTCACCTTTCTCATATTACAGCCCTTATCATTGGTTCTCAGCCTTCTAGGGCAAGGGGCAGGGGATAACAATTTCATATGCTCTGGACCCCTCTGGCAGGATGGCAAAGTCTGGGACCTCTTCTCAGAATAATATTTTTAGATGCATAAAACACATAGGATTACAAAAGAAATAAACTATGTTGAAATATAGTTATAATAATATTTAAAATGTGGTAATAGGTAAGCTTTTAAATTAACATGAAATAATATAAGACCCAGTGATGAGTCTGTAACTTTACTTCCAAAGCAGTGAGGACTGAAGACAATGTTTTAGGACATTTGCCACAATTGTAACATGACTTGACGGTATCTGTGATTTCTGTATTGCCATTGGAGATAGTCACAGATATGCTATCACCTCTGTGGTTTGTTGCATGAAGGAAATGATAAATTTCAGTTAGAGCTTAATGGAAATGAAAAAAAATCCATCCAAGTTCACAGAACCCCTGAACTCTTGTCTACAGTCCTGGTCACCAGGTTGAGACCCCATTTTAAGGCTATACATATGGGGCCCCAAAGGGAGCCCAGTTATGACTTGTGGTGGCATTTTCTCATGAGAGTCAGACTTAGTGCTCTGGACGGTGAATGTTCCACATCAGAGTCTAAGAAAGTGACCCTGTCCCCCTCAGCCCCTAGTACTGTGTGTGCCTGTGGGGAGGTGTGGTTTATCCCACCAGGATATGGATGTGGATAGGGAAGGAGGTTGACACCAGAGGGGCTGCAGGAGAGAATGGAGGAGAAGCAGCTTCTAAAGGTGGGAAGGCACAGGGGTGATGACATCCTTTGGAGTGAGGTCAGGGTTTAGAGGAAGGAATGTGAGGGACTAATGCTCTTCCAGACACTGGGAATTCTTGCCTAACTGGTATCCACCAGCGTAAGGGAAGGTGATAACAACAAAAATAATAACAATAGCAGGTGGTGTCTGTTGAGCATGTATGACTGGCCAGGTGCTGTGCTGGTTGCTCCACAGGTATTAACTTGTTGAGCTTTTGTCACACCCTGTGAGACAAAATCTGTTTCCTCACTTATAAAACAGAGTGCCCTCCTACAAAGTGAGGAACCTGCTTAGCACTCTACAGCCAGGAGATGGCAGTGTTGAGATCCTAACTCCAGTGTTCTAGCCAGAGCTCTCTTCTCCTAACCATGTGCTGTACTACCTACCAAAGGACCCTTTGGTTGCCTCCCTGGTAGCCGGTGGCCCCTTTCCAGTACAATTTATAGTGCACTTCTATTTGTGATGACTGACAGCCATGTGGGGAGACTTGTAAGCTAGACTTGTATGTCATAGCTCATTTGGGGGCTTTAATTCTTTTATTTATTTACTGTCTTATTCTGTTGTAGAACAATCCATGTTAAACTTTTTACACCTCAGTATGATTATAAATTTTTGGACAGAAAAGCTTGGGTTTTTTATTTTATCCCAAATGACTGAGAACACTGCATTGCACAGAGCAGGTGTTGATGAGGCACGGGCTAATTATCAGTCTTTGTCTGAAACAAAGGCTCCCAACTCTCTGAGTGAAGAATCCAGTGGCCCAGGCATTGATTTTGCTGCCATGAGTGCAGAATAGGCACAGGTCACTGACCCTCCTCTGAACTGGCAAAGCATCTTCTTTGTAGGAATACAGAGGTAGCCTCTGAAATATTATTACCAGGCAGTGTATTACCAAGGAAAACAACTGTAAGAATGCTGGGCTGCTCTTGGAGGTTAAAGTTTACTTTCACAGGACATAACAATCTCTGAAGTGCAGTTATCTTTGTGTAAATAACATGCCCAAGGGCAGGGCTTGCTTTAATAACAAAGCAAGATTATGTTTTTCCATAGCTCTTCACACTGAATGAGTAAAATAGAAGTTTCTGCTCTGTTATGCAGATTAGTGAACACTTTTTTACAGCTCAGAGTAAGGCAGGACATTTTCTTATTCTGAGAGGAAGACCAAAGTCTAGAATAGGGTGTCTCCTTCTGAGGAAGTATCCTGGAATTCTAGAAATGGATGATACCTGGAAGCTGTCCTGTCACCAGGTGCCTCCTGATCACTAATGGTCTCCATTGCAGAGTCTCAGTAGGACCTCCCCCACACTCCCTCTCTGTTTGCAGCCAGAACTGTCTAGGGAGTGTACAGAAGTAGCTGTGAGGGCTGGGGCCTATACATTCTCAGGAACCACTTTAGGGCCTCGCAGGCATTCTGGGGTTTCTCCCAGTTGACAGTCCTCTGCTCTGAAAGCTGTTTCACTCACATGGATTCTTGAGAAAGCATTGACACAATACCACTTGTTAGAACTAATGTGAGACCTGAATGTGATTTACCTCATTGGACTAGTGGATCAAGCCCTATGAACAAATTTGCATATTGAGTGCAAGGCCTAAATATTTTCACTGCATATTTGTCAACATCCTTGAGTAAGCAGTTCTCATAAAGATAGGTACTGCCTCCTGTCACTGTGAAGTCTGAGCAGCAAAATGCTGTGGTAGGCCTCATTTTGTCACCTCTGCTATATCCAGATAGTTCCTAGCAAAGACAAAGACAGGTCATGGCTTGCAAACTTGCCCAGTCTACTTTACCTGGACACGGATTTCCTGATTGGCAGTGGCTACAGCTACAACAGGAAGATGGTACAAGGTCACCTCCCAGCTGGGCCCCCTATCATTAGGTATTGGTTAATCACTGATCTTGTGCCCTAATGTTCACAATTTCTTCGGTTCTCAAATGGTCATAAATTCTTCTTAAATGAGAAGCAGCCACAGTGACTGGCCTATTTATTGCTGCATCCAGCAGTGTTCACTAAAATGTCAGAATCATACTTGAAGAGGAGCGGTGCTAACATAAGGATTCCTAGGCCTCACCCTACACCCACTGAAACCATAACTCAGGAATCTGCATTTGAACAAACTTGGACAATTCTTCAGTACTCTAAAGTAGCTGAAATTAACTCGAAATCTTAAACTTTTTGGGTCACAATTTTTTAGGCCTTCTCTAGAATGAATCAACCTTTAAGATTGTCAACCCAGTTAATGAGATAATTCTTCTCTTTTCCCCTTTCTAGGTGAAGCAGAATATGGTGATTTGACCCACACAAAGTGAAGTTTCTTAGGATGGCTCATGCACACTTGAAGGGTTGACATTTCTCTGGAAGTTTCTCATACTATTAGCCAGTTTTCTGTGATGTGCTGATTGGTTTGTTTGCTTGATCCTATTTTGATCCTATACTAGATTTCTTGGAAGATGTAGTTACTGGAATATATATATATCTTGAAGCCATTTTCATAAAGAAACATCTTTCATTATAATCAGAGTTTTGTCTGGTCAATTCCAAGTATTTTTCCAATGATGCTCCTTGAAGAAGAACATATACCAGATATAGATTGCCCATTGGCACTTGGAGGTACACAGTATGAGTTTAATTCCTGGCTGACACCATCCTGAGAAGGAACCCCCCTTGATCTAGCTGTCAAATCCTGGTGGAGAGGGGTTGCCCTGTATAGTACATCCTGTAGAAACAGCAGTGGTACTCCAATGGAGCTTGCTACTCATGCCAACTTGGGTATGACAGTTCTGAATATTATTGATCCAACATAGGGCAAAACTGTTTCTTATGAAGAACTTTCTAAACTTTTTACATTCTAACCTTATACTTACCCAGAACAAAAAAAGACCATAAAACTTCTGGAATTTGATATCTTCACCTAAGTGGACACAGTATAATAAGTCTCCTCCCTTGAAAACATACAATATGCTTTTTAAAATTTGCCCCAAAATGGGGTTCCAAAAGAAAGAGAAGAAAGGGGATTTTGTATATTTCTGATAGTCTTTTATAAGAAAAGTTAACCCAGGCATGAACCAGCTTCAGGTAGGGCCAACATCTCCCACCTCAACCACTTTCCAGAGCCTTTTAAATGCCTTTAAATACCTCTACTGTCAACCACGACCTAAGTATTCCTCAGCTGCTCTAAACCTATAAATGGCTCCTAATGCTGCCTAAATCAGGTCATCCAAGGGAAGATAGCTTGGCATTTTTTTCAAAATCACATTTCTTTAGAAGAGAAGACTCTATTTAGTTTTATTACCTATGTACATGATTTCAGAAGATGACATACGATTCCTTTTAAAGAGGTGTCAAGAATCAAGCTGCTGAATCTTTACTTGGCAAAGAGAAAAGGAGTTAAATATGAGTAATCATGTTTGAAAACTAGAAATTGAATTTAACAGAAATCTAGCAAGCAGCTTCTGCTTAAGACAAATGATTTATATTAACTTAGTGAAATAGACTTACTATTCAAAGCATCAATAATTAAAAGCATTATTTTAACCTGATGTGTTAGACTTATTTTTTTTCTTTCTTTTTTTTTTTTGTGGGGGTGCTTGAAGTTAGGGCCTGGACTTGTTAAGCAAGTGCTGTATCACCTGAGCCACATCCCCAGCTCTGGACTTCCTTTCTTCAATATAGATAATATTTATTATGATGCCTCACTGTCCACTGTTGAAATCCTTTTGTGTTTTTGTTTGAGCACACTCTTAAATCAGCCACCAGCTCCTCCACTTTGGCAGAAAGTTCATGGTGTCCTAGAATTTGGGAGATGTTCAGACTCTAGCCTTTGTCACAGGTCCTTGGGAACCAGCACACTTTATGGTAAAACTGGGTTGGAGGCATCTGTGTTTTCTCCCTTTGCTTGCTCATTATGAGTTCTGTCTTCAGCATCTGGCACCATATAAAAATGTATCTATATTCAGGTCAGATCCAATTACCTAGAGTGAAGTCAGCTAGCTCTTCACAGCAGGTGCTGCAGAATCCTTTATAATTGAATGTTCAGTGTCACTGTTGAATTCTTGTTGGCCAGGAGAGGGCACTGCAGACTACTTTTTGTGTAGGTGACAGTATTTTTTGGGAGGGGGTGGAGGAGGGCTTTTTTTTTTTTTTTTAAAGACAAGGTCTCACTATGGAGCCCAGGCTGGCTTCTGACTTTCTATCCTCCTGTCTCAGCCTCCCAAGTGCTGAGTTTACAGGCATGTGTCACCATGCCTAATTCAATGCTGGTTTCTTACACAGCTGAGTTAGTTAATCAAGTCCCAAGAATGGCTCCCTGGATGGCCTCAATAATGGTGTTGCTGGAATAAAGGCAGTTCAGCAGGGGCATGCTGCTGCTGATGGTTCCCATGGGTTTATCATTCCCTCCACACCATGACTTTCCCTTCAGGCTTTGGCCCTCACCACGCTTGCTGCAGAGGAAAGATTGAGGCCTGGCTTTAACAAGAATGAAATACAAAGGAAAGCGTTGGCCCAGGGAGCAAGATAGGCCCTGATCAAAGTAGATAAAAGTAGAAAGATAGTAGCCAAAGGTGCTGAAGCCACTGTGGCTGCATTTGGTATATTTTGTCATGGCCATTGATCTGTTTTGCTGATAAGGCCTTTTGCCCTTATACAATCTGAGTTTATTCTGTCTTCTGGTCCAGGTTCAAAGTCCTTGGAGGTATGCAGTAGGTTAGAGAAAAATCCATTATGAAATAAGGCAAGATTCAATGAAATAAATGCATGACTATTCTGACTGGAGGTTGTTCCTGTCATGTTCCTATCTTAGTAATATTCACAAAGTAATTGAAGAGGAGACCCTACTTCCCTATCTGATGGGGCATGTTTAGTTTTAGTGCTGAGAAAATAAGTCTACTTTGTGTAAAGCTGGTTGGTCAGTATTTTGAGGGGGAATTCCAAACTCTTCCAAACCAGATGTTTAGGGTGGAGGCATAGCTTAAATGGTGGAGTGCCTGCGTAGCTCAAGGCCCTGAGTTCAAACCCCAGTACATAAACAGCATCAACAAAAACTCCAAAACTATATGTTCAAAAATTCATCTAAGAAGACAATTATAACTTAACTTCTTATTGGAATTAAAAGGGTGTATGATTCAATCAATAAAACATTAATATTTTTCTTAGTTTTCTCCTTTATATTGTATGTGTATATATGTGTGTGTATATGTGTGGGTGTGTGTGTAGAAAATGTGGAAAATAAGAGTTTAAAATTCACAATCTTCCTAGCTAGAATGGCTACTATTTATATTTTCTTCTAATCTTTGCTTCAATGAAATGTTTAAACAAGGTCAAGATCATGCTACATATTGATCAGTTATCATGCTTCTTCCACTTTATCATAAGCTTGTTATGTTCCTAGAAAGCATTTTCAAGGATAACTTAGAGTGGCTGCAGAATCTTTTATCAGATCAATATACCCAGGCTATAAAATAATAGTCTGTGCTGAGACTCTATTGCTAGTGACAGAAACCCAAGTCAAAGTAGTTTAAATCACTGATCTTAAAATATTCCTTCAGAACTCTTCTTCGTTTCTTGGCTCTGTTTTCCCTTGTGTTGGTTTTAATTGCAACCAGAAATCATATGCAAAGAGGATGCATGTTTTCTAGCTGGGCCCTAGCTGTTCCTGAATAATCGCTGTGTCTGGGAATATGGTGGCTTGTTGGCCTGGTCTGGCTCATTCGTCCTTTCCTGGAATTCAACTCAGTGCCATCAGAATCATAGAGACTGGGAGAATTTGAGGGGGACTCCTGAAAACAAAAAAGAAGTTATGTTAACTGAAGGGCTACCAAGCAAGCCAAAACTAAGGGCTGTTACCACTCTCCTATTTATTTTTTAATATTTGAGTTACTTCCAACTTTTTCTTGTTACGAGAAAAAGACACTCTCGAATATTTTTTATATGTTAGATTCCCTGAAGTAGAAGTCCCAAGTCAAAAGCTGTTGCTACATGTTGTAAATTGCTTTTAAGAATTTAGGGTTGGTGGAGTGGCTCATATGGTATAGTGCCTGCTTAGCAAGCATGAGGCCCTGAGTTCAAATCCTAGTACCAAAAAAAAAAAAAAACCACCCAAAACTAACAGTCCTGCAAGCAGTGTATTACAGTGTTTACTCTGTGTGCTGAATTTAATAGGTAAAACATTATTGTTATTTTAATTGACAATTTTTAGGTTACTGGTAATATTGAACATTTAGAAAAGTTTTTGCTTGGCATCATGGCACATGCCTGAAATCCCAACATGCAAATTGGGAGGCTGAGACAGGAAAATCATGACTTTGAGGATATCCTTGGCTTCATAGTGAGTTTCAGGCCAACCTGAGCTACAGTGTGAAATCCTGTCTCAAAAAAAGTTTTTCTTCTTTGTGAACTGTTAGTTTATGTTCTTTGCCCATTTATCCTATGGGAATCATTTTTTATTTTTTTAGTTTATTTTTTGGTGGTGCTAGGGATTGAGCCCAGAGCCTCACTTGTGCTAAGCCTGCACTGAGCTATATCCCAGCCCTTGGGGATCTTGGCAAACTATATAGCAATTCCATGAAAACATTTAGTTATTAAATTCATTAGTTGGTTAAACTATTTCCCCCTTAAATTAGTTTTTAAATCTATAGGTTTTTAAATTTCTAAAGAAAATTTTAAAATAATATTTTCCTTATTTTCTTTGTCTTTAAACTTAGTTCTTTTCCTTGGAGGAATTTCATAAATATCAATTCAGGTTTTCTTCCATTTTTGCTACTTAAATTTTTACCCTGAACTCTTCAATGCACTTAGAATGCACTTTGTGTATACTGTTCCTCCTTTTCTTTCTTTTTTTTTTTTTTTACAGTAGTGGGGCTTGAACTCAGGGCCTACACCTTGAGCCACTCCACCAGCCCTTTTTTAGTGTTGGGTACTTTTGAGATAGGATCTCATGAATTATTTGCCTAGGCTGGCTTTGAATAGCCATCCTCATGATCTCTGCCTCCCAAATAGTCAGGATTACAGGCATGAGCCACCAGCACTTGGTTATTCCTCCTTTTCTAAATGGCAAACCTGAACTATACTCCTCTCTTTTAGTCTAGTTATGAACTCAAATCTAAACATACTGCTCTCAAAAGTAGGGACAAACGTTGATTTGATTCTGCCTCCTTAGCCTGCTTGGTCAACCTGCTGGACAGTCTATTCTAGAGACACTCTGTAGTCCTTAGCTTGGGCTGTAGGGACTGGGATTGACAGAGGGTCACAACCCAGCTAATAGTCTCTAATTCTCAACCTTGGAGGTTGTCTGATATGCTCACACTCCTTAGCTAGAGTCTCAGCTGATTTTCTCAACATTATCTACCATTCATTCCCCAGAGGGTATCTGATGCTATGACCAATCTGGGCTGATCATGCCCCAAACTTTTCCCTGTGGACTTCTCTGCCAGGCATGGCCCCACCTCCTCACTGGCTTCAGTTTTCACGAGTATGTGGTCTTGAAAGCAGGGCCTGTGTCTGATTGATTTATCACTATAGTCCCAGAACACCAAGTGTCAATACTCCATTGCATATAATAGCCCCTTGATGACAGTTTAACAATTTGTTTTTGTAGCATGAACTTGGCCACATGCTTCCTAGGCAGGCGCTTTACCACTTGAGCCACACTTTCAGCTCTTTAACTCTGGTTATTTTCAAGATTTTTGCCCAAGCTGGCCAGAACAATGATCCTCCAATTTATGCTTCCCACAGTAGCTGCAAAGTCAGTCATGTGCCACCATGCCCAGCTTTTTGTGTTGAGACAGGGTCTCATGAACTTTTTGCTTGGGCTGCCTGCAACTGCTCTCCTCCCAATCTCTACCTCCTGAGTAGCTAGGATTATAGGTGTAAACCACCAATGTCCAGCTTAAAAATGTTTTGTTTACAGACTTTCTACTTAAAAGTTTAATGAACACAGTGAAAAGGGAGGTTGAACCTCCAAAGTGCTGTGCAACTTAAAGTACTTAAATTCAGTGAATGCACACTTAAATCCAAACTTGGCAAATTTCATTGAGACTTTGCTTGACACTCCAGAAGTAGGGCTTCAGTAAGGAACAAAATCCCATGTTTGAGACTTGGATGGAGGTGTCTGTCTTATAGACATACTGTATGAGTCTACTGTAGATGGTCCATAAAGAAACAAAAGATTCTGAAATTAGTTAATGTATCTTTGATTTTCAGATTTGGTGGAGTGCATTTATATCTCTCTATTCCCAAAACTTGGTGCATAAATGCTGCTCAAAAAAATGTTTGATGACTAATGGCAGAACAGCTTGACCAAAGCAGTCTCTTCTGAGAAAGGGAATTTAACACACTGTACACATGCCCAGAGTCCGTCAACAATACTTTATTTTGGTCACCAAGTGTCTTCTATTGGTGATCTGTTTCTCTTGGATTCATCTTTGTCTTGTTTTGCTCAAGCTACCATAACAAAATACCATAGACTGGCTGGTTTAAACATAGATATTTATTTCTCACCATTATAGAAGCTGGAATCCCAAGACCAGGGTGCTGG